AAGGACCTAATGTTGATTTAGATGGCAAAGTCAAGCTGACAAAAGCTCCAGAGATTAAAGGTGGGATAGGATCTGGTGGTTTAGACTTCAAAACACCCACAATCAATGGAGATTATGATATGCCTGACATGGATCTTGAAGTACCTGATGTAAAACTTAAAGGATCAGGAATTAAAAAGCCTTCACTTAACATGTCAGCAGGCAACATTTCCATTCCAGATTTGGATGTCAGTCTACCAACAGGAAATATAGATGTGGCTACTCCGAAAATACAAACTGATGTCAAAACTCCAAATTTGGATACAAATGCACCAAATGTTGGTGGCTTTGGTGCAGAAGGAAAACTTAAGTTCCCAAAATTTAAAAAGCCCACATTTTCAACCTCTGGCAACAAACCAAAAATGCCTGAACTAGACGCAACTGTACCAGATTTGAAGGCAGGTATAAAAGGTCCAGATGTTGATATTGGAGGATTAAAAGGGAGTGTTGATGTTCCTGATGCAAAATGGAAAATGCCAACCCTGAAAATGCCTTCCTTTGGAGTATCAGGACCGAAAGGACATAATATAGATTTTGATGGTTCAATGAAAGCACCGGGTTTTGATGCGTCTGTTCCAAATGTTAAGGGAAACTTTAAGACTCCGGACGTTGACATAAATCTTCCAAAAGGAGATATAGATACAAATATCCCAGATGCAGAACTTAAAGGAGGAAATTTCAAATTGCTGGGATTTAAAATGCCAAGTGGTTCTACTACAGGACTGAAAATGCCAAAAGGTCACATGGACATTTCTGCTCCTGATTTTCAGGGAAATATCAGTGGCCCAAGTCTTGATGTGAAAGGCCCAAATATTGATATCAATGCTTCAAGTGTTGATCTTCCTGAAGCAAAATCCAAAGTGAAGATGCCAAAATTGGAATTATCATCCTTTGATCTATCAGGGCCAAAAGGACCAGATGTGGACTTTGAGGGTTCAGTAAAAACAACTGGTGTGGATGTATCTATCCCAAATAGTAAAGGAAATTTTGCAGCACCAAATGCTGATATAAAACTTCCCAAAGTGTCTGCTGATTTGGATGTGAAAATACCCACAATTGGCACTGATTACGGTGTGTCCGATATGAAACTTGAAGTACCTGATGGAAAAGTTAGAGACTCAAGTTTAACAGTGCCTTCACTTAACATGCCTTCAGGAAATGCATCCATTCCAGACATGGATATCAATCTACCAATAAACAATATAACAGGAGATGCAGATTTGCACATTTCTGGTGCTGGAGCTCAGGAAAAAAATTGGAAAGACCCCACCATAGACATGAAGGGTATGAAGGTCAATGTTAAGTCGCCAAATCTGCCTGATGATTTTCGAGAAGTTGGTGTGGATGTCAGCACACCAAGCCTTTACGCCCAAGTGAAGGCTCCCAGAGTAAATGTAAATAGTGATGAGAATAAATTTTCGAGGGATACATTTAAAATAAGATCATCATCTTTATCTGATCTTGATGATGCACCTACACTGCCAAAAAGTGATTCCAATTTAAAAGCAAGAACTTCCAGTACTCTTCATATCATTGATGATGCTTCAAGTAAAAAAAGTAAGTTCAAGTTTGGAAAGATGTTTAACTTCAGTCACAAATCAAAAGGATCTGTTGACTTCACAAAAGCCAAGGCAGCAGCTTCTTCTGGGACATTTACATCAAAGCTCCCAATCCCAGAACTTGAGCTCTCTGTGTCTAAAGACTGAAAACTTGCATCAACCAGTTATTAAGTCATGATGTATCAATGTATCTATCTCAGTGACAAATGTACAATTCCTTCAAATCAATCCAAATACATGGAATCTTTGATGTATTCTTACAGTCAAGTGACTCATTCACGCTGAGGCAAAAACAACAATGTTACCACACGGAGAATTAAAAATACAAGATAGTAAGGGATCAATTTCGAAGACTGAGTTTGTAACAGACTCAGCTAAGGCATACAACGTCAGCTCAATGCTAGAAATTTTTAAACTTTGTACTTAAATGAAAGGATTTTACTTATATACCTTAAATCTACAGGAATACCTGAAAAAACAGCTTTGCTTAGAATCTGCATAGAACTTGCTCCTGCAATTCTTTGTATTGATTGTCGACTGGAATCAAACACATAGAAATAGCCATTGCATCTGGGGATTGGGAGTTGTTCTGAGAGATGTTCCATATTATTTGCTATAAAATTACGATAAAGTGAAAAATGGACAAACATTGCTTTAATTTTTGACAGTCTGAGTTCTTTCAAAACAAATTTATGCCCTAGTAATCTTCTTGAAAATATATTTCAATTTTGATAATCCCCTGAAATCTTATAAATAATATCACTTAATATTTTTTATAATGTTAGTAAATGCTACATATTTAGTTAAGTCAGGTTATGTTTTTGCTTTGTTTCATCAATCATACATATAACAGCAGTCATTACATCAAAACACAGTTGGTAACATATTGAAATGTGTTAAATATATTTACTTACATTAGAAATGTAAAACTCAGGATTGTACAGGCTTTCGTAATTCTTCAATGTTAAAATCAATTTGTAAAATATTCAGTTTCTTTACTATTTTAAGAGTTTAAAACAATTTGAAGAGGATTTACTGAAACATTTTAAATAGTTATTGTACAGTCTCACATGAGGCCCTCAAGTGGTTAAAACCTCAATCTCTGTGTTAAATGCTATTGCTTTATTCCAATATTAAAGACTTCATTTTTATTGAATATCTATGTAATTAATATATTTCTAGAAATCTGGTAGTAAACACATAATTGGGATAATTCATTTGAAATTTGCCCTTTGATTATCAGCTTTTGTGATTCAGATTGTTAACACATCCTACTTTTACCCTAACTGTATATGCATGTAGATCAGAATGTTCTAAACCAGGCAAATTGACTCTGATCGATCAAGGCACTGTCCTGAGGAATGAACAAGAAAACGTCTGTTGCTTACTTAGTTAAGTTGAAATTGGCACAATTTGTGTGCATGTTCTTTCTGTCTGTAAATTAAAAGTCGCATTTATTAATATACATGACTTCCAGTGTGCACAAGTGTGCCACATTGCCAGCCTGACTGACAATCTTAAATTAGTTGTCAACATAATTCTTAATCCACTCAAGATTGTTTGATATACATTATTCAATTGTGAAACCACACCTAATGTTGGATATGAAGTTTTGAGTTCTGCAGGCATCGATTGGTTGGGCTATGGTCTGAACCTTGTCTGTTGTGTGCAACCAAAGAGATATGTGTTTGATACTTTGGGGTATATGGCCTATATACCTAGTCACGCCTGTATATTCATATACCACATTTCTCATTTGTGATGGGTTTTTTTTGGCATGATGGTAGCATCCTGTTAGTGGTGAACAAATGTGAAGATGCTCATTTCACACTACTTTGTCATCAGCATTAACTTGCTAATGAGTATGATTGTTCACTAGGAAATTCTGTGCCACTGGTCATGGGTTCTGTGGGTCCTTGCATGGCTGATCAGCCCAATTCTACAGCCACATCTCCAACCACACAATTGGCAGTGTTTCTGAGAAGTGGAATTAGACCGTAGCCTTGAGATTGCTGTCATTCCTTTTCCTGGTTCCTTTCCCTTACTTCCTCTTGCTGATGAGTGTTCTCAAAGAATTGTATCCTATTGCAGAGTCACAGAATCCCTACAGCATGGAAGCAGGCCATTCAGCCCCTCAAGTCCAGAATAACCCTCTGAAGGGCTCCCCACCCAGACCCACCCCATCCCTGTAAACCTGCATTTCCCAAGGCTAATTCAACTAGCCTTCACATCCCTGGACACAATGGGCAATTTAGCATGGCCAATCCACTTAAACTGCACAACGTTGGACAGGTGGAGGAAGCCGAAGCACCCAGAGGAAACCCATGCAGACACGGAGAGAATGTGCAAACTCCCTACCGTCAGCCAGCCAAGGATGGAATCAAACCTGGGTCCCCAGTACTGTGAGGCAGCAGTGCTAACCATTGTGCCACCGTGCCGCCCGCTTCACGCTGGAGCTTCCTCCAAGTCGGTTTCTTCTGAACGAAGGTCTACCACGTGTTGACATCAATGCTACCATTCTTGACAAAAACCTTTAGGGAGTCTTTGAAATGCTTCCTTTGTCCTCCTCGCGTTTGGGTGCCTTCCTTCAGTTGGGTGAAAAGGATTTGATTTGGCAGTTGGAACACAGGCATCCTATGTACATGGCCAATACTCCTTATAGTAGCAGTGTGAAACGACTAACTTCACATGTTGCACAGATTTTTTTAGATATTTTGTTATTCCATTGTAATCTGAGGTAGACTAGGCATCTTTTTGGGACTGAAAGTGGGGACTTGGACTCTATGAGCCTGTAAGACACAGTGATAAATGATGAGAGTAGCCTTTATCTTTCCAGATGGCTTTGATGTACCCAATTTCAGCATTGGATTTGCACAAGTGAAGTACGCTTGAGATAGTCAATGGTAGTGAACCTGCTGGCAGATTTCTCAACTAGTGCGTCGAGGAAAGGGAGCTCATTTGATTATTTCATTTCAAATGTGAATTTGAGTATGGGATGGAGCACATTGAGATGAGTAAGGATATTCTTACATGCAGTTGCAGATTCAAATATAGCAAATATATCGTCTACATATCACAAATATGTAAAGGTATTTACTCCCATTTGTATGCTGAGTCAAGCAGAACAGGAAAGTCTTTGTACAATCTGTGATCTGTGCTGGTCTCAGCTGCAGGACTACTGCAGTTTCCGAAGCAAACCTGGAGCAGGCAAAACATCAGCTGGGTTTGTAGAATTGACCAGACTCGAGAGGCTTCTGGCTACATCCATCACAGGTATAAATATCCAGAACTGATTAAAAGTAATAGTTTGTGACAAAACCAATTAACATTAAAAAGTCACTTAATGGTGACTTAAGAAGGCACCTCCTTACAAAAAGGTGATTAGCAAGCCACTTTATTGTTGGTGTCTGACTAGGGAACACAACGGCAATTTCACCAAGGTACATAATGTGTTGTCACTGTAATAAGACACACGGCTTTCCCTCAATAGAGAGAGATGTGAAGATCTCTTTGTGAAGTTAGTACTTTTTAACATTGGAATGATTTGTTAGCAAGAAAGTTTATTTCTGATCAAACAAAGTAATTTGTTGAGATGCTAAATATAATTCATTGGGATTTTAATAATAGGTGGTCTGGTGAAGATATAATTAAAAAGGTTAACATGACCATCCAGATTAGCATACACAATCACAGACTAGAATGAATTCCATTTGATCACATTCTTCCAGAATTATGAATCCATTATTGTGTTACAATGGCTATTGTTTATTAAATTAATTTAATGTTCTGACCTCAGCCATACTTCCAGGCAACTCTTGCTTGCTTGTGAAAACTTTAGTTTCAAAGAACCAGTAGGCTTGCGGTGTAGGAAAATTCTTAAACAAATCTAAATGGCCATTGAAAATTTTAAAATATCATTGTGACTGAACGAACTCAGTCAAGTTCGATAGTATTCAGATTCATTCATACAGTTTGGATATCATTCACTTCTTTTGGCTGTAGCACCAATGGTTTGAGACAAGAATAGACATAGTTTAGAATTCTGGAATATCTTTCAGTAGCCAAAAGAAGAACTCAGACTGCAGTGTTTTACTATGTGAGCTAGACTTCAGGAGTAAATTGACTCCCCCAAAAGTACAAGATTCTCATGGAAAAAGATAATGCCTCACAGTTGCACCATTTATGGAGGTGTTCAGGGAAACACCCAATTTTCCATAAGCCAGACCTAAGTTATATTGCCACTTCTATGGGACCAAAAGATCTCTACTGACATAAAGTAGCAGTTTAATTAAATGTACTCTCAAACCTTTGGGTTTTGATTTAAGAAAAACTTTAAAGGCAGAATTTGAAATAAAATATAACATTTGATTCCATCAAGATCTAAAAGTTTTCCCAAACAAAAATATTCACCCTTACCAAAATTTCTGTTTGAAATGTCCTGTTGTGTCAATGAACTACATGTACAATGAAGAACAAGGCAACATTCAGCTGTAGAGAGAGGCAGAGACAAAAAAAACAGGCACACATAAATATACACAGATTTTTTCAAACATTTTAGTGCTTACTCAATTTCCTTCCATTTTGTCGTCCATAAATTTCTCACAAAACTTAAATCTCCTAAAACTTCAGAACTTTCAGGAGTTCTCTCTCAATCTATGACACAATTTGAACATAAGTTGACAGAAAAAAATTGAATTGTAAGTGAAATGATTACAACTGGAAATTGTACTACAAATTCTTGATTTTTTTCAAGCTTTATTTGATTTTGTATGCCACTGCTTTGGCCACTCTTTCTCCACCCATGTCTCCAGTACTTTTAATACATCCACCCTCTTGTAAAATTTGCACAGGTCAATTAGCTGTGCTACTGTTTGTTCACTGTTCCTCAACAAAAACTCCAAGGTAGGGCTCTGTTGTTTCTGTTCCAAAAAGCAAAGTTCATCATAGGTCATGCCCCATTTGCTGGCAAAGTTCCTCCAGTTTTTGATTGTTGGGTGGTATGGATCCAACTTTAACTTCAGTGTGTACAATAAATCTTCATCGTTCATCAGGTCACCAATACAAGGAGGAGAGATGCACAATGATGAATTTTTATATGTAGTTTCTGAACAGTCTGTACACGATTTACTGTCTTTCACATCTGCAACCAAGAAGTAGGAAATTAGCTTCAGTAAATATATTGTAATTTAGCTTTCCATGACGTTTGATCCCATTTTCACCTCTTTATGTTACTGCATTCATATTAATAGCTGTCACAACCAAAGTTCCCTCATTTTTTGGGAGTGTGTAGCCCTTTAAATTTTTTTGCCAAGTAACACACATGATCATTTTAGAGTTGACTTATGTGCTGATTGCATGGGGACTTACAGGAAAGATGACTGCAACATTAGTTACAGAGTTGTAAACTAAACCCTCTATAGGCACTCGAACCCATGCAAAGAATTGTTTTCCACCAACACTTCTATGAGATAGTATTTATATTTATCATTAGAGGCACTTTATAAAAAGATAAACTAATTCCATTGGTTGGAGATTCTACAATCAGGAGGCATAGTGTGAGGATTTGGGCTAGACTGTTCAGGAGAGATGTTAGGAAGCACTTCTATACACAAACGGACGGTAGGTGTCTGGAACTCTTTTTCATAAATGGAGGTAGATGATAGATCAGTTGTTTACATTAAGTCTGAGGTAGATTTTTTTTTGTTAAGCAAAGGCATTAAGGGGTATGGGCCAAAGGCAGATATGTGAAGTTAGGCCACCAATCATCCATGACCTCACTGAATGGTGGAACAGGCTCAAGGGACTGAATAGCCTAGTTCTGTTCCTATGTTCCGCTACAACAGAAACAAAAAGCCAAGCATTCCCAATCCTGATCAACATCTGGTTACTCCTGCTGGAAAATGAGTACATGTAGTCATTAGATGAGAATTAAATCAACGACCCAGATTTTACAAACCAATATTGGCAAATGTTGAGTTCTTTGCTGGTATTGAGGTTTGCAATGGAACCATAGCTTCTGGGAAGTGACTTACAATCAAATTTGGAAGTTGCAGTTTGCCTGAATATTTACCTCAACATTTATGCTGACTATTTGGAGCTGTACCTAGTGGTTGTAGACCCTGTCCAGGCATGTTGTCCTTTGAGTCAGTACAGGCATCAAAAACACTCCCACACCAGCATCACTCCCAGTTTTGGAGATGCTCCCCAACCTTGGTATGTCAGGGTCCTCAGTTCCATCATTGTTGGAGAAGAGCTGGGGGTGCAAATGAAGTGGTAGCAGGTCTGGATGGGCATGGTGGTGGTGTGGGAGGGAAGCTGGGCAGGGTACAGGAAATGTGCAGGTAAGGAACGAATTTTAAAAAAATTCTTTCATTGGACGTTACATGCATTAGCAAGGCCATCGCCCATCCCCAGAAGCTCTTGAATTGAGTGGCTTATCAAGCCATTTCAAAGGGCAGTTATGAGTCAATCACATCAAAACTGGCTAAAGCCAGGAAGGACGCCAGATTTCTTTTTCTAAAGGGCATTAGTGAACCAAATATATTTTTAGAGAAATCAATCATAATTGTCATGATCACCATTACTGAGAGCAGGTTTACTGTTAATTAATTGAATTTTAATTCCACCAACTGCCATTGTGAGATTTGTACCCATGGCACAGGCCATTAGCCTGGGCTCTAGATTACCAGTCTAGCGATATTGTCACCACTCCTCACTAAGCAACACAGTGGGATGGGTGTCAGATTTCAAAACAGATTTTAAAAAGATTTAAAGTGCCAAAATACACTTGAAAACACTTAGCTGCCATGTGCTGAAGGCAGACACAAAGGGCCAGATGGCTTTGCTGCCTCACTACAAGGCCACCCTAAACCCACCTCGCTGATTCATGCTGCAGCTGGGACAGCAATTTCCCGCTGTGGCCTATTAAACAAAGTAAGAATGCACTTTTAAACGCAGTCAGCGACATACACCTTTGCTTTGTTGCTGACAGGTCAAATGGTTGGCTACAACAAGTCTCAAATTTGAACTAACAGGTGCTCACAGTCTAGATCCATATTTGAGGAATAATCAGTTGGAGTACCCATCTAACATATGGGAGGTAGGTCTTTTGAATCAAAGCTTCAGCAAACCTGCAGTACTTTGGTCAAAGATAGTAAGAACTGCTAATGCTGGAGTCAAAGATAACACAGTGTGGAGCTGGAGGAACACAGCAGGCCATTTTTTCTGAAGAAGGATCCCGACCCGAAATGTCAACTTTCCTGCTCCTCTGATGCTGTCTGGCCTGCTGTGTTCCTTCAGTTCCACACTATTATCTGCAGTACTTTGGTGTGGTGTTTCTAAAACTTAATGCTACCTTCTGCTAGTTTTAGTAAAACCGAGTCACTCTGAGTGATTACATTTGCAGCGATCAGCCTTACAATGCAGAAGATTCTCCTTATGCCCAGCAAAAATCAGTGATGCCATTCACAGAGAACACACTGGTATCTGCCATTCAGTACCTATGGATATAAATGGGTGCAACAGATAAGAAGTGTTTTCCTCCTTTCCTTCATGGGTAATTGTTTTATTGGCCTGCCCCTGAAAGTACCCAATGTGCAAGACAACTAGAAAGGGATCCCACTGGATCTGGATTTTATTCTAAATTCCACTTTGCTTCCCTATTACAACCCACTTTCCTCAGTTCCTTGGCTTTTCAGGTCAATAGCTCCAAATATGCCAAATGTTTTCCTACTGTCCTTAACTTCTATGATTTTAAAAATGTGTAATCTCTATTTAAAAGTTATTCACAGAATCTCTACAGTGCGGGAAGAGGCCATTCAGCCCATCAAGTCTCACCGACCCTCCAAAAAGCATCCTACCCCCCAATATCCCTGTAACCTCACATTTCCCATGGCTATTCCACCTAGCCTGCACATCCCTGGACACAATGGACAATTTAGCATGACCAATCAACCTAACCTGCACATCTTTGGACTGTAGGAAGAAACTGCAGCACCTGGAGAAAACCCACGCAGACACAGGGAGAATGTGCAAACTTGACACAGACAGTCATGCGGGCTGGAATCAAACCTGGGTCCCTGGTGCTGCACTAGGCCACCTTGCCACCTCATTTCAGATTATACTCTTCATAAAAACTCACCAAGAAACTCTATACCTGGAGAAAATATTCCAAATATTTCTTAAAACCTGACATTAGAACTTATAACTTGGCAATCACCATTCGATTCAATATAGGATCAATATTTTTGCTGAGGAGACAGCCGGCAGTTTGAAGGAAAGCAAGCAAGAAGGAAGTAAATGAGTTACAGTAAAATTTAAAGACATAAAATTTATGAACAAAATTCGACATTATTATCATTCACATTTAAAGATAAGTTTATCAATGAAGCTGACATGTACCTTAAACTTTCCCTTGGTCTATGAATGCATGTAGAAGAATCATAACTAGAAAATGTGAGGAGGAAGGGAGAAATGTTCAGAAGATCTCAGCCTTGGCAACAATAGCAACGAAACTGATCTTCACAAAACATTAATTTTCTTGACGCACCCTTCTCCTCAATGAAAAACGATACAGCCTGCCTCCCTTACAGGGCCGCACAAATGCAGGTCTTGGAGATCCTAAATCTTAACCAGGATTTTCCGGAGAAAGAGTAGGTCATATGGCCTGTTGGTCTAGATTTCATAGAATCATTGAACAGTTACAGCAAAGATGGAGGCCTTTCTGTCCATTTGTGTTTGCATTGGTTCACTGTAAGAACAACTCAGCTAGTCCTTTCCCTGAAGTTTTGCAATTTTTTATCTTCAAATAATTATTCCAATTACATTTGAAAGCCACAATCTCAGCTAATGCTTTCTAAATCCTAATCAAGTTCACACACAAATGCTTATCTTCATGTCACCTTTGGTTCTTTCACCATGCATCTTAAATCAATGTTCTCTGTTTTTCTCTTCTTCCATTAATGACAACAGTTTCTCCCTATTTATTCTATACTCATGATTTCAAACATTGAATCATAGAACCCCTGTAGTGTGGAAACAGGCCCTTTGGCCCAACAAGTCCACACCGAACCTCAGAGCATCCTACCCAGACCCATCCCCCTATAACCCACCTAATCTACACATCCCTGAACACTATGGGCAATTTAGCATGGCCAATCAACCCTAACCTGCACATCTTTGGACTGTGGGGGAAAACCGGAGCACCCGGAGGAAACCCACGCAGACATGGGGAGAATGTGCAAACTCCACACAGACAGTCGCCCAAGGGCGAAATCGAACCCGAGTTGCTGGTGCTGTGAGGCAGCAGTGCTAACCACTGAACCACCGTGCCACCCCTCATTTTTATCGATTCTCCTATCAACCTTGTCTTCTATAAAGGGATCAAAACCAACTTCTCCAATCTATCCATATAACTGTAAGATCATAAGATAAAGGAGCAGAATTAGGCCATTCAGCCCATCAAGTCTGCTCTGCCATTCAGTAATGACTGATATATTTCTCAACCCCATTGCCCTGCCTTCTTCCCATAACCCTTGATCCCTTTACTAATCAAGGTCCTATTTATCTCTGTCATAAATACACTCAATGACTTGGCCCCCACAATGTTCTTAGCAATGAATTCCACGGAATAACCATCCTCTAGCTGAAGAAATTCCTCCTCATCCCAGTTCCAAAGGGTTGTCTTTTCACTCTGAGGCTATATTCTCAGGACCTAGTCTCTCCTGCGGGTGGAAACATCTTCATGTCAATTCTATCCAGGCCTCTCTATATTCTGTAAGTTTCAATGAGATCATCCCTCATCCTTCTAAACACCATGAAATACAGACCCAGAGTCCTCAACCACTTCCACATGACAAGCCCTTCATACCCAGGATCACTCTTGTAAGCCTTCTCTGGACCCCTACCAATGCCAGCACACCCTTCCTTAGATATAGGGCCCAAAACTGCTCACAGTATTCCAAATGTGGTCTGACCAGAGCCTTACACAGCCTCAGCCATACATCTCTGCTCTTGTATTCTACACCTTTCAAAATAAATGCTAACATTACATTTGCATTCCTAACTGCCAACAGAACGTGCATGTTAACCTTAAGAGCATCTTGAAGTAGGACTCCCAAGTCCTTTTGTGCTTTAGATTTC